AGTGTCGACAGGCCTGGTGGAGCTGGGGCTCGTCGGCGGGAGAGATAAAGATATCAACTTGGCCGAAGCGAAGACAAGACGGCAATGGGAGTAATAATTACGTTGGCCCGGTAGAGAAGGGGCTCGTCGGCGGGCAAAATGTAGGTGCCGACCTGGCGAAGCGTAGGTCTGGCGACAGTAGAAGTGATAACGTTGGCCCGGTAGAGCAGGGGCTCGTTGGCGGGCGAAGTAACGATGCCAGCTAGGCAGAGCAGAGGCCCGTCGCCGGACTGGATGTGGACATCGGCCTAGCCGGAGCAAGGGCTCAACGGCGGGCGAAGTAACGACGTCAGCCCGGCAGAGCAGGGGCTCGTCGCCGGACTGGATAATGACATCGGCCGGAGCAAGGGCTCAACGACGGGCGATGTAATGACGTCAGCTCGGCAGAGCAGGGGCTCGTCGCCGGACTGGATAATGACATTGGCCTCGCCGGAGCAAGGGCTCAACGGCGGGCGAAATAACGACGTCAGCCCGGCAGAGCAGGGGCTCGTCGCCGGACTGGATGGAAACGTCGGCCCGGCCGAAGCGAGAGCTCAACGGCGGGCGAAATAACAACGTCACGGCTTGAAGGTCTCGTGACTTTTCGAGACTGAGGTGTTAGAGGAACGGCCATGCCTATCCCGAAGGCTTGCAACAGACCAGCTTCTCCCAATCCTTTCCGTCTCGACTCGATTTTCACGAATGAGATTCGGTCCATATTTTCATTCACGTATATGTATATATATGTATGTATATCTATTATCATACATACATTTCGTTAAATATATGCGTATGTTTATTAATTATTAAATGAGCCTTAGTACACATGTATGTAGTACATATATGTATATTATGTGCGGTACATGTATATACATGTGCAGTACATAAGTATGCATATTATATATATTATGCATATTATGCATTATTTGTTACTTATATTATTATTAGTGTTATGGCAATATATATATGACGTGTATATATATATATATTTATGTTTAGTACATATATACTTGTGTGGTACATATATATGGGTGCGGTACATATGTTATTTTATATTACTTATTACTATGACTTTATTAGTATTTTATATGTGTATGCGAATTGGCAAAGGATTTGGTTTGGAGACTTACAGTGCTCATATTTCTTGCCTTCTTCTTCGCCGAACTCCCAATTTAGGGATTCATAGAATTCTTATTTTTGTTTTCTTCTTTGCCACACCCCGTCCAATTTTTCATGGACCGGCCTTTTTGAGTGCACATGGATCTGAGGATGGCATCGGCGGATCGGCGTCCGGATCTGCTCGGCGTCCGGGTTTGTGGTCGGGATTCGCTTCCCGGCGGCGGCGGCGGGTCGGCGTCTGAATCTGAGGGCAACATCGGCTGCTCGGCGTCCGGATCTGAGGGCTGAATTACCCTCCTGACGGCGGCTGCGGTTCGGCTTCTGGGTCTGAAGGTTGTTAAATCGGGCCTGTAGCGGTTTTTGGAGGTGTGTGATCGGTGATGGAAGTTGAGATCGGGCCCCAGCTGCGGATTGGATGCCCGGTTGCGGGTTGAAGTCGAGGGTGACGGGGATGACGTGGTCGGCCTCGCTAACCGTGATGTCGGTTGTTGTCCGAGGATGTCGATGGTGGTGTTGGCCGGTTGTTGGTAGTTCGACACCGGCAGCGAAATCGGCTCGCGAGATTAGCCCGGCGGTTGCGAGGTCGATCCGGCGGCTTGGCGTTGAGGTCGGCCATCGGCTGTGGTCGGCCCCGGCGACTTGCCGTTGAGGTCGGCCATCGGCTGCGGTCGGCCCCGGCGGCTGAGACGGAGATGGTAATGGCGAGCCCGTACTCGATGTGAGGTCGGCTACGGCGAGTTCGGCGTTTGACGGTGAAGTCGGTTTCGACAATTGTGACTGCCGCTGAGCGTCGAGATTTTCGGTAAAGGCGAAGTCGTGCTCCACGGTCATGAGATTTGAAGAATTGAGTGATTCTGAAGGTCCGGGTTGACCGGCAATCTTGATGTGGTTGACCGCGGCCGGGGCTGAGGTCCGGAGTTCGGCTCTGAAAGTCGTCGGTGGACGTCGAGAACGGGCCCCGGTTTGTGGTTATGTCAGCTCGACACCTGCGGTTTATCGGGTCGGGCTCCGGTGTGGAATCGGCCCTGGCGGCGTTAGGTTGTCCCACCGAGGCGAATCATCCCGGCACCTGCGGCGTAAATACGTCAGCCCGGCACTTGAGGTTAATCGGGTCGGGCTTCGGTGGTTGAACGGTGGTCCGTCTGTAAAGTGTTCAACCCGGAACTGAGGTTGGAGAAACGAGGTCGGATCCGAATGGTTATGTGGCTCGACTGGTGGACAGGAGTCGGTCTGGAGATGGTGTAGTCGGATCCGATCTGTTGCTAGGTCGGCATTGTCTGACTTTCGTCCTCTCTTTTCTTTTTTTTTGGGTTATTATGAATATTATTATATTATTATTATTAAATCAGGGTGATGTGATGGGATAAGATATGTCAGAGTAACAGTACCACCATCGTGGCCAAGTTGGCTAAGCAAATGAGCACTACTCTAATTTTTTATTCAGCTCACACAAAGAATTTGAAAAGAAAAGAAAAAATGAAAAAGAAATTACACCTGCGTACGTTCAACGCAAGGATTGGTGCAAGGATTTCAGATTCAATTTTCTTAATCAAAATATCAAAGGAAAATAAAATCAAGGAGTCTGTGTGGATTTTAAGGAATCTGTGTGGATTTTTCCTTGTTTCAAGACTCAAATTCATGAGCGAATATTTGTGGATCGTTATACGATAAAAATTTCCGGCAAAAACTGAAAGAAGGATCAGATCTTCGAGATGATTTTGATTTTTTTTTTTTTTTTTTTTTTTTTTTTTTTCTTTTGTTCAAGATGATAAAAGATAAAAAAGAAAGATGACTTGGCTCAACTGCATCCAAACAAAAGTGGTGCTGCTTCTCCATTTTTTTTACCTTCAAAATAACGAAATGGAGTAAATGTACGCAGAAAAACCTTCTAACTTGGAGTGATCTTCTTCAGGTGGAAATGTGGCCGTTTTCCGGCAAAAATTGACTCCGAGCAAATTACGGAGCCCTCCTTCTAGCGCCAAACTGTTGATGTCGAAAATCGGACGATCAACCGTCAAACATAATTCGAATTTATATATCAAAAAATCCAGAACAAAATAGATGGAAATGGGTGTTTATTTCTTATGTTTTTTGGAAGAAGGTGAAAAAATGGAGAGGGCTCATCCAACCACCCCTACCCTCTCTCTTATGTTGTTAGGAGGAAGGAGATGAATAGTGAAAGAAAGGAAAAGTCCCCTTCTCTCTCATCTCCCTCTCATATATATACACCCCACATTCCTCACAAGTGGGTCATTAAATGAATAAGAGATAATACATCATTATTTAATGTGAGATAATTATCGTGGGGCCCGCTGATAACTCTTGCCGGTTCCAACTGACGTCTGTCTCCTCGGCAATTATGGTATCTACTGGAGGCGGCTCTGAATTCGACCCGGCTCGGTAGCTGGCGGACTCGATATCTGGGAATCCGGTCAATTTTTAGGCGATCGGTCTCGAGAACCTGTTTGTATATTTATTTATCACATATTTACGGCTTCTTGGTTGTCGGGCCGTATTTTATTATTTTATTTATCAGTTATTTAATTGGAGCCAAATTGGGTATCAACAGCCCTGTTTTGACTTTTCCCGACTTGTTTGACTTTTTTTTGACTCGTCACCTCGTTTTTCATGTCGAGTCCATTTTAAATGGTTTTTAATTGTTTTTTTTTTTTCGAGTNATTCTAGTAGTTAGATACAAAGGTTCCAAACTGCACAAAGTTCCACGAAACACTTAGTCGATAATGTTCGGCTAAGTGAATGTTTTTGTGAATGACTCTAAGTGTCGGGATAGTTTGTTGATAGGACTATCTTGATAAATGTAGGTGTTTGATGAGTCGAGCTCGCACCCCTACCAGCTTTTCGTGTTATTTCTCTTGCTATTCCAGGTGGGTTTATTTAAATATCTATGCAGTAAATTGTTTATATTTTGCTGCACGGTATGATCTATGTATGTGTGTGAACCATGTTGCCTGTCGAGGTGAGCTGTTATGGCCGTCGACACGGTTGTTCCCGTCGATGAAATACAGTGCCGAATGAAAGGGAATCTCCCTAAGACCTAATGAAAGGACATGTCGTTGGTAATGTGAGGCCCTTGACATGTACTACAACCGTTGGGTAATGAATCCCCTTCCGTGGCTAATGAAGATGTGTACACAGAAGTATGATGTGATTAGGAGATGTGATATTTGATTGGTTCATGTTCATGTTACGACCATGCCTATCTGTCATATATATTCTATTTATTTGCAAAGTAATGAGCAAGTCGATTATGCTCACTCCCATGTAACCAACATATCAGGTTGAGCAAGTAGCGGGCATGGCGACGAGGAGACGAGTGGCCAGTCTGCATATTTATGATTATATTTGTTTCTGCATTTATTTATGTTGAACATGTTGAAGTTGGTTTATTTTCAGAATATGATATTTTGAAAATTGTGGATTATGTTTTGGGCATAACGGATATATTTGAACCCTATGAGCTGGTTTAATTGTTATGAAAACTGATGAATTGATTTTATGTTGACATGCCTATGTTGTGATGCTTATGCTTGTGAAATGGATAATGAAATCCTTGTAAAAACACAATGGGTAATGAATCCTCGTGAGTTCAGACATGACTTGAACTGTGTTTTGAAATGAATGAGTAACATCGTAAATGTTTTAAATCGAAATATGAATTTCAAAAATTTACCCTGATTTTTGGATAAGCCGCAGATTACTCCTTCAAATCAAAGTGGGGGCCTTACATATAAAACATCTCCGAACAATCATGAAGATCTTCTTCGACCATATCCGCTATCTCATTAAGTTGGTCAGACTCGTAATCCACATCTGCATAGCATTTACTAGTTGGATAGTTCACATTATATTTTTTTATCAGGACATTGTTTTCTCATCTCACCATGCTTAGTCCAACAAGTATAGCTTTGATTAATTTCATTGCATGTTAGATGATCGACCAAATCATCTACACCTATCTGTTTAGAGTAACAACAATCCAATATTATTAATAAAATCAGAAAATGAATTACCTTTTCTCTCAATGAGACGAAATCTTTTTTGATGCATGTTGAACCACAGTGAACAATAAGTTGACTATTGACACTGGTATATGAATACAGTCAAAATTAAAAAATGTAGAAGTTATATATTCTTATAGATGTACCATGGAAACAAACCAGATTCTACAAATTTGCTGGAATAAAAAAGGTTATATCAGTAGAGACCGCAAATAGTAGTAGCTGCTATGGGCACATTAATACCCATTAACTAATCAGTCTCTTTAAGCTCTACGTCACATTTTATTGAGGGAAATTTATACTCAAGAAGCATGAGTTGGTTTTCCTACTTAGGATAGTCTCCATCTGTTTTTAATTTGCTCCAAACAAAGGATACCCTGAATTAATAACATATGTTTTTAATGACCTCATTTTAATATTTTAATTTCCCCAGGATCCGCTGTTGGAACTAGTGATACTTATTCTTACAACTTCATAAATATATGGATTTGTTCACTGTGAGTACATATACGGCAAAATTACATTTTGTGCCCTGTAATTATGCGTGTGTGGCAAATGTGGACAACTTCTTTTTGATTTGGCAAAAGTGCCCTGAAACTTGTTAAAACCCGGAATCCGTGCCCAATTTACCTACAAGTTACCGGATTTGACCGGTTTTTCGTGTGGCAAAACAGGACAGTAACTTGTTAAAATTCGAAATTTGTGCCCAAATTGGGCAGTTTTAACAAGTTTCAGGGCACTTTTGCCAAACCAAAAAGAAGCTGTCCACATTTGCCACACACCCCTAATTACAGGGCATAAAATGCAATTTTGCCGTACATATTATGCTTCCTTCATGTGTACAAACATAATTTTCTGGTTTCTCCCAACTTATCCTCTAAAAATCCGTACACATAATTTGAGTCATATAAAGGGGTCAGTCAAGAAAAGGGAATCTCATCATCATGAGCATATATATCTAATACCAATATTTGTATCAGCATTCCTGTTCGGAAAAAAAATGCAAAAAGAAAAGGGTTTGTTGATGTATAAAAATGAAGTTGATTAGGCCATCTCCAACCGAATACTCCATACTCAAACCCATTTTGCAGTAGCTATCTCATTTTGCAGTAATTCATCTCCAACCGAAAAACCCATTCTCCAACCCAAAAGAATATTCTCTCTACCTCAACTTTTACAACTTTTCAATACTACCCACATATTTTACAACTTTACAAATTAAACCACACTATTATTTTCAATTCAATTTGGACTTTATGTAATAAACTAATTATAAAGTAATAATCATATATATAATAAAATCAGAGAAATAAATAGTCATTAAAAATTAAATTTAAAAATTACAACGCACAAAATAATAAATTAAAAATTACAACACACAAGATAAAATTAAAAATTACAACGCACAAGATGAGAAATTAAAAATTACAACAGACAAAATAAAATTAAAAATTACAACGCACAAGATGAGAAATTAAAAATTACAACAATCAAGTAAACATAGATAGTCTTTCAAGTCTCGGAATTTGTGAATTCCTCCCACAGGTATGATCAATTAGTGCATTTCGAAGTGCAATGTGATCATCTTTATTTCTAATTTTTTTGTACCTAGATATGAATTCTTCAAATCGAGTACTTTCATCTACTACCATTTCGACCTCTGGCGGCGGCGTTTCCATTTCAGTTTCGATTGGTGCACTTAGGTCACGTTCATCCTCGACAATCATGTTATGCAAAATTATGCATGTAGTCATGATATCATGTAGCACTTCTTTTCTCCAATAACGTACTGGTCCTGCTACAATGCCAAAACATGATTGAAGAACTCCAAATGCACGTTCAACGTCTTTTCTGCATGCTTCTTGTTTTGTTGCAAAATATCTTTTTTTGGGACCACGTGGCTCATGAATTGTTTGCACAATGGTAGACCATTTTGGATATATGCTATCAGCTAAATAATAACCCATGTTGTATTCTTTTCCTTGAATTATATAATGAGCTGGAGGAGCAATACCTTGGGTTAGATCCAAGAAAAGATGAGATGATTCTAGAACGTTGATATCATTGTTGGAGCCCGGCAAACCAAAATAAGCATGCCATATCCATAGATCATAATCTGCTACAGCGTCAAGAATGATTGTAGGCTTTCCACTACGACCAGCATATTGGCCAGCCCACGCTGTAGGACAATTTTTCCACTTCCAATGCATGCAATCTAAACTCCCCAACATTCCTGGAAAACCACGTTGTTGACCAATATATAGAAGCCTGGAAATATCATCAGATGTGGGTCTTCGTAGGTATCGCTCGCCAAATACCTCAACTGTGGCTCAACAGAACTTTTTCATACTTTCAATTGCAGTATACTCACCAATTTTGACATACTCGTCTGTAGCATCTGCTGGAACGCCGTATGCCAACATACGAAGGACAGTAGTTATTTTTTGTAGTGGAGATAATCCAAGTCTGCCAGCTCGATCCACTCGTTGTTGAAAGTAATGATCATGATCTTTGACTGCATCGACAATTCGAAGGAACAGCGAGCGAGACATTCTGTATCTTCTACGAAACATGGTCTCGTTATACAATGGATTTTCTGAGAAATAATCATTGTATAACCTTTGATCAGCAGCCTCTCGATCACGATTGATAACAATATGCCCAGGAACAGAACCTCCATGAGAGGCTTCTTGGTTTTGTTGATTGAGAAGATGTTGAATGATGATGTTGTTATTAGCGATAACACGAGATATCATTGCTTGTTTCTTACAAAGAGCAGTCATAATTAGTATATGATCATCTTCAGAATCAGATGAAGAAGATGACGAATTGCCAAAATTAAAATTCATTGTAGAAATGTGGGATTGAGAAATATGATAATATGTTTGAAGAGATTCAAGTGTGTGAAGGATTTAGTATATGTCATGTTCTTATAGTAGTGAATTTTAAAGGTGTGGTAAACTTTGTAGGGAGTGATCATTTTCGGATCAGAAGCATTGAGAGGTGTGGGGAACACTGCAGTGAAATGTCATTTTCGAGTCAGAACATGGAGAAGCGTGATCAACTTTGCAGAGCGTGTTCGTTTTCGGGTCAAAGCATTGAGAGGTGTGGGGAACATTGCAGTGATATGTCATTTTCGAGTCAGAACTTGGAGAAGTGTGTCACCTTTGCAGAGAGTGTTCATTTTCGGGTCAAAGCAATTGAGAGGTGTGGGGAACATTGCAGTGATATGTCATTTTCGAGTCAGAACTTGGAGAAGCGTGTCACCTTTGCAGAGAGTGGTCATTTTCGGGTCAAAGCATTGAGAGGTGTGGGGAGCACTGCAGTGAAATGTCATTTTCGAGTGTGATCACCTTTGCAGAGCGTGTTCGTTTTCGGGTCAAAGCATTGAGAGGTGTGGGGAACATTGCAGTGATATGTCATTTTCGAGTCAGAACATGGAGAAGTGTGTCACCTTTGCAGGGAGTGTTCATTTTCGGGTCAAAGCAATTGAGAGGTGTGAGGAACATTGCAGTGATATGTCATTTTCGAGTCAGAACATGGGGAAGCATGTCACCTTTATAGAGGGTGTTCATTTCGGGTTAAACCATTGAGAGGGGAATGGCTCATTCACTATAAAAGAAGACATCATATTGAGAGGGGAGAGACTCATTCACTACATCCTAACATTTATATTCTATACACTAAACATTTATCACATCTAGCTTCTTGTAAGAATGTCGATCCGTTCATCTTCTTACAACCACGATGAAGATATTATTTTGTGTCAGGTTTATATGGATATTTCTAAGGACCCAATTATTGGGGTATACCAATCATCTGACTGATTTTGGTCACGTATAGAAAAAGCTTTTAATGAACGAAGACTTGAGCATTGGGAGGTTCGTAGCCAGAGATCTATGCAAGCACGGATTCAAACAATCAAAAAAGCAGCCAAGAGACTCTATGCATGCATAAAGCAGTAGAAGATATGCATCAAAGTGGTGCTTCAAATGAAGATACAGTGAGTATTAAAATCTTATTATATTTTTATTTATTAAATTTATTATTTATATTAGCTATGTTTGATTGTTTATTGAAAAATTGTAGATGCTCAAAGCAAAAGTGTTGTTCAAATAAGATTCCAAATTCAAATCTGGATGGAAATACGACCATGTTTGGAATATTATTAAAAAATTTGAAAAATTTCAAGATGGAGCTTCGAGGAGTAAGAAAAAACAATCTGGTCGTTATCCATCTTCGGAGTCAGAAAATCCAACTCCCGAGTCTGCCCGACAAGAATCCCCAGGTATTTGTTCATTTTCTCTAAATTTAAGCGACTCGGATCAATTTGCTAGTGGTTCTCCATCTGAAAGACCTATCGGGGTGAAGAAAGCCAAACTAAAAAGAAAGGTAAATGATGATTCATCGTCGCTTATCAATGCTATGAAGGAAGAAAACAAAAGACTTGTTGAGGAGATGAAAAATACAAACGATCAAATAAGACATCAATTGGAAATACGCGACAGATCTCACGCTTTAAAAGAAATGAGGGAAGAAAATAGAATTCTGCTTCAAGATGCCAGTTCCATAGCAGATCCTAGAGTGCGAGCATGCATTGAAGCTGAAAAAGCACGAATCTTGGAGAAAAGAGCTCAACAAGCCCAATCCGATCCATTTCCAACCAATACATTTGGCCAATTTTTCAATGATCTTGGAGGAAGCGGTGTCAACTTACCAGATTACTAAATTCTCCTACTTGTTTTTTAGTTTGTGGCTTTATGATGTATTTTTATTTTAGTACTGTGTGATGTTGTATTTCATTTCAGCACTTGTTATTTAAATGATTTTCCTTAAATCGTCATGTATCACATTTTAATGTTATTTTAATCTGTATTAGTAATGTTGTTGTTATTTAATGTTAGTGTTTTCTTTTCTTGTTAAATAAAAATACCATAAATGATATGTATATTTTATATTATTATTGTGAAATATATAGAATTTAATGATAAATATAATATTTATTATTTTAAAAATTATACTATTTAATTTTTATGAGATAAAGAATTTTTAGTATTTTACATTAAGTTTACTATTTTGATAAATATATAACTAATATTCATTAATTTAATCATCATAGGATTGAAATGCAAAAACAAAAAGAAGCAAATAAGATTAACATAAGAAGAAAGACTAAAATGCAAAAAAAAAAAGATAGAACGCATAATTTGCGTTCCGACGCAAATTTGCGTCTTGGAGGAGGAGAGAGAATGCAAAAACGCAAATTGCCGATGCGTTTGTCGTTCGGTTGGAGGAGATTCCACTGCAAAAATTGAGTTTTGGCGTTCGATTGGAGAAGGTCTTAGTAGGAAAACACAAGTTCCTAAACCATATTATACTTACTGCACACCCATAATGCAAAATATAGTACTTGGGCATACTATGAGAGAGATTACTGAAACCTCGATAAAAAAAAGTCAAGGTTATTTCTATGGGGATGTCAATGTAAAAGAGAACTTGTCACTGAAGATATATATGATTCCTGCCATTACTTTACTACTATAAGTAGTTATTTGAGAATACAAAATTTCAAACGCAAATGAAACAGAAAATAAGAAGGGGATGGTAGTAAATCAATCTACACCTAAAGATTACTGGTGGCTTTTTTTTTTATCCTTGAAAACTGTTAAATTCAACATCATCCCCTTCACAATATATAGCAAAAACCTGAACTTGAGTTTACTACGACAAAGATCGATCAAACTATCCTATTGTGAAATCGAAAATCTTATAAAATCCAATTGATAAGAAAAAGAGCCAGCATGCAACCTGTACAAAAAATGTTGTTCACTCATAAAACTAATGATACACTGGCTAGTATAAGTTCTTCCTTCATTGCAAAGGATACTCTAATACATCAGACAAGAATCGAGTCCAACCTATGGCAATCAAAAAGATTGAATACGGAAAACAAAGAAAAACATCCTAAAATCTGCAACTTTCAGACTAAGGGAGCAAACTTTCGCCCTCATTTGAAGGTGCCCTCTTTCCATCATACTCTGCTTTCCGACGGAGAAAGGAACATATTTATACTTGATTATGTGTTCTATCTGAGTCATCATACACAACATAATCCAGTAGAAAAGAAGAATTGGCCGATGAGCAACATCTTATACACAGTAAGAAACATGAGTCACAAGAAAAAGAAAATGGATCAAACAACTTATGCATCACAACAAATTCATAATTTTATGCCTATTTTCCAATTAACAAGTAACAACAGTTGCTACCAGTAAAACACGATCCAAAAAAACTAAGAAATCACTTGAACATATATATCACACCTGGGTTGATAATAAGGTGGTTCACGAAATTCGTTGCCCTTAATCTCGTTTCCCTTCTCCTCCTTCTGCTCGATTTAAAAAAGAGTGTTATAATATGAAGTGTTATAACTCACATAGCACGTTTTAACAAAGTGTTATATATTTGTTGTCTTCTTATAGCGCTTGTTAAAATAAGTGTTATCTAAGGGTTATGTGTTTCTTAGATAACACTTATTTAAAAAAAAATGCTATGCAAAAAGTGTTATCTGAAACCATTTTTGGGGGCCCCAGACCCAGATATTTCCTAACCTCTAACCACCTTTTACATATCCAAGAATCATTATCTTTCTTCCCCACATCCCAAATATTGTGCTTGGAAGTACCTACCTCTAATGACTCTACTCATTAAAATGTTTGGCTTGGTCAGAACCCTCTAGAGCTATTTAAGAATTAACGCTTCATTGAAAACCTCAAACTCTCTGACCCAATGAATTCTATTCCTGCCCTCATCAGACTTACCCCACCAAATATTAGCCAAAATCTTACAAATCTCATCACACAGATCCAAAGGGATTTTAAAAACTGACATAACATAAACTGGCATTGTAGATAGCACAGTTTTGATCATTATTTCCCTCCCTGCTTCACTCAGAAAAATTTTCCAATTTGACATTTTTTCTACCTCACATTCTTTCACAAAAGAGAAAGTATCTTTTTTTTTTTTTTACATACCTATGCCTAGATGAAGCCCCAAGTACTTAGAGTATTTTGCCACTGCAATACCTTGAAAAAAAATGGCAAATATTAGATTTCACATGCACAAGAGTATTATTGGAGAAAGAAAAAATACTAGACTGGTGCAGGTTTACTGCTTGACCCGTGGCAGCACAGTAGGAATTCAAAATTTGGAGAATAAGATTAGCATGGTGAGTGTCTGCCTTGCAAAAAATAAGAGCATCATCTGCAAAAAATAGATGGGATATACTAGGAGAATTTCTACTAATCTTCAGACCTTGAAAATCATGAGAAAAACTGGCCTAAGAAATCAGATTTGATAGGGCCTTAGAGACAATGATAAAATGATAAGGAGAAAGAGGACAACCCTGCCTTAAAACTCTACTAGGAGTGACAGCCCCAAAACTTGGCCACTTATATTAAAAGAAAAGGAGAAAGTGGTGATACAAGACCAAATCTATTTCAAAAAGATATCATTAAACCCTATATGTCTACAAACCCTTATCAGAAAAATCCACACAATTCTATCATAAGTTTTTTCCATATCTAATTTTAAAGCCATAAACCTATTTCTACTTTTTCTCCTACTATTCATGTAATGAAGGCATTCATTAGCAATGATGCAATTATCCAAAATTTGCCTCTCAGGCACAAATGCTGCTTGGGATTGGGAGATACAACAACTAAACACACCTTTAATCTATTGGCCAAGATTTTTGCAAGAAGCCTATAAGTAATTGTACACAAATTGATTGGTCTATACTGGACAATGGTTTGAAGCTCTTTGATCTTAGGAATGAGAGTGATTATAGTATGGTTTGATGCCTTTGGAATACAACCAGACTCAAAGAAATTAGAAATGGCTAGGAAAAGATCATGCTTTATAGTATCCCAAACAAATTGAAAGAAAAGAGGTGAATAACCATCCATACCTGGAGCTTTGTTTGGATCCATGGCCCACAAGGCTTGTTTGATCTCCATTTCTGTCACTGGCTTTATGAGATTTTGGTTCATATTTTCTGTTATGGATCTGGGAATACCTTGCAGCACCTCCTCATTGAAGACTTCGTTTCCTGACTGAAAAAGATGACTGAAAAAATCCTGAATTTCCTCCAACACCTCATGTCTGTTTTGACACTTATATCACCTCAAACTAACCAAGTGCTCCAGGCTATTACTTTGTATCCACTGTTTTACAGAAGCCTGAAAAAATTTGGTGTTCTTGTCACCTTCAACCTTGTGGCTCTGGCTTTCTGCTTCCAATAAACCTCTTCCTCCTGGTAAGCTTTGTGTAACTCTTCCTTATACGTTGCCCCTTTTGTCCAGTCACCTAAACATTCAAGTCTGGCATTGCAAACTGAGGTCAACTTTGTTGAGTTGGATTTTTAACTGGAAGCCCAGCCCAGCAGTCCCCATTTAACCCTTCTCAGTTTTTTCTGAAAATTATAAAGCTCAGGTCCCTGCATGCTCACATTCCAAGCTGCTTTAATACACTCTTGGTATCCTTCCATTTTTGCCCATCTACTGTAAAAAACAAACCTTCTTCTAGCCTCCTCAACTTCTTTGACATTCTCAAATAGTAACATACTGTGAACTGATAAGGCTAAAGGAAAATTTTGAACATAGAAATCTAGAAAATGGAGAATCCATTCTGGGGACACACATATTCTATCTAACTTCTCTTCAACAAACTCACTACCAACCCTAAGGTTAGACCAGGTAAATAGGTACCCCACATTGTGACACTCTACTACCCCTAGGTTTGACAGGAACTTTCTAAAATTCCACAAAAGTAGACCCACCTCTCACTACTCCTCCCTTCTTTTCCTCATTACTAATGATAACATTAAAGTCCCCTCCTATGAACCAAAAATCCCCTCATCTCAACTGATGTCTATTTAAATTCTCCCACTGATATTTTCTCTCAGAAGGATCCACACTTGCATACACAAAAATAGCCCAAAACACCTCAGCATGACCCCTAAAACTAAATTCCACTTCAACAAAAACACATTATTAACAATCTCAAGCACAGATATTTTATCAGACCAACAAAGAAAAAGACCTCCTTTATTACCTTGAGGATTAACACAAAAACATCTAGATTCAACCTTCAAAGATTTACAGACAATTAAACAAAAGCTTTTTTCCTTTTAGTTTTCGAGATAAATACAAAATCTGGGAGGTAGGATTTAAATTTTTCCTTCAACTGAGAAAGGATTTAAATTTTCCTTCAACTGGGAAATTGTAGAGGGTCCCCCAAAATCTCTACAATTCCATAGCAAGACTCTCATTTGGAAACTTAGGACCAGTTACACACAGTTGCTATCACCACCATTCGTTGATCTAAATTTAATGCATATCAATTGATTATAAAAAAACTATTAACATTGAATATGGAATATGCATTATTCATTTCTAAATGACCCTTATATCATTTTGCTAGTGCATGGTTAGAAGTATATTAATGTTCATTTATAAGAGAAATAATGGCGAAATTTAAGTTTTGTTGCAGTTAGGTTTGGGACAAATCATTAATGTTCCGTCAAACATGCTATGACAATAATAATATCATAACAAAACATAGTCGTCGATTACGAATCCAATTCAAAACATTCATAATAATTCAGTTTCAAATCCAACATTTCAAAATAATAATATCAGACTGGCAACATGATATCAGTGATAAATAGCGGAAGCAAAAGTAACAGTTCAATAACTAAGCAGTATGTCCCCGCTCGCCCGTCTTGTGCCGCTGCCACCAGCTCAACCTGAAAAAGGGGGAAATGGTAGGAGTGAGCGACCAACTTGCTCACCTTGGGAATACCATACAGTCTATTCAATATAGACTTATAATCATAATCGCAACATGAACACAAATTGTCTAATCTACTTCCTATACCGCCCTATGCTCGTGTGTACACCCCTAACCGTCGGGACTACGCCCATTCATGGGAGCTAAACCGTCGGGACAAGCCCATTCAAGGGAGAAACCTCTCAATAGGCACAAATAGGAAAACATCGGAACCCCATCAACGCGAGATCCTCTCATAGACTAACGGTTCACATGCATACATTGATTATCAAGCTAAACAATTATAAAGAATAAAATTCACGGTAAGGTTTATCAACACCCACATGTTCCGACGACAGGAAGATATCACACAACAGCCCGGTAGGTAGGTGAGGCTTGACTCCTCAGGAACCTACATTCAAATCAAGATAATATCTTAATATACTTATCTCGATAACTCGGAATTTCCCCGGAAATTTCTACTTAATCAAAATTTATCGATTAAGAAGTTTGTGGAACTCTTGTGGAATTTGGAACTCTCAGAGGATTGGAACAAGGCTTAAAATAATAGTCACGAGGTTAAAATTAAGGTTTTGGTTGAAAATGGGTCGAACGGCTCAAAAACAGACGAGTGGTAACATAAAAACCAAGTTAATAGAAAACGGATAGGTTTCTAGCGCAGTCCTCGTAAAACGAATGTAATTTACGGGAAGCCAAGAGATAGATATACATATTTTATGAAGACCTCAAAGACAAACGAGCAAGTTATAGGGATGAAAATTGACCAAACTTAAACTACAAACTGCAGCCATGTTTGCACCAAAATCTGCTCGCACTATCGTAAATCGGACATAACTTTTTCTATAAAACAGATATTCAAATGATTTTAATGTTCTTAGAAGCATAAAAATCAGACCTACAAATCACGTTTAGACTCCAAAAACTTTTGACTTAAAAACGATGGCCAAAAATAGCAAGGAAAAAACAACTTTGTACGACTAAGATTAATATTTAAACTGACTACGCAACGATCGAACTTTCGACATAATTTTCAATATAAAAATGATAAACACTCGATTCTTTTTCCTCATGAAAGATAATATATTGAGCTACAATTTATGTGGAACCTCCAGAAAGAGGTGGAAAGGTTTCAGTACTCAAAAACAACAAAGAACACAAACCACATGCAACATCAAAAAACAGAAAAACTGGGCGCGCAATCGCCAAACTTTGGCTATAACTTTCAGCACAAAATTAATTTTAACCTGATTTTTGTTTTAGATGAAACCTAAGAGACTGAAATTCAAATAACTAGAAGAGTTTGAAATCATTCTATCGAGTTTTAGGGGTCAAAATAGCGACCAAACAACAATCAGCGAAAGGTTTTCAAAGTCCAACTCTTAAACGAACGACAATCACGAGATAAGGGCTCAGATGACAAATCAAGGCTCGAGTTTACTCGATAACACCTCAGCAATAAACACAACAAAAGAAGAGGGCTCGATAACACAACGAGAGAGTTCCACTATCCACGTCAATTTCTCACAAAGCAACACAACAAGTGAACCGAAAATAAACCAAACACAACAAACGGATTTTGATTCAACGAATATGAAATAACCACCGAAATAAACCAACGATAATTAACACGAGCTCGAAAATAAAAGATGGTTCAGCCGAACTACCTTCCTTCGCGAATCTACATGCTCGATTGAAAAATTGAATAAAACGAACGGTACGCACGGGGACCTCGAAGGCTCGGGACTCCTCGAATGAAACCTCAAAGGTTCGGAACCCCTCGAACACCTCACGAACGGGCTCGTCGGCGATGGAGGACGTCAGAAAAGGCAGGGTTGCTGCGTTCCCGACCAGGGGCGTAGACAGAAAAATTGTTAACCCAGGGCTACATATTATTGTAGCTATTATTGGAACCGAGTAGACATGGTCATGGGTCAGGCCGGCCCGCCGGTTCGGCCCAAATCGGTACAAACCGGCTCATTGACTATGTGTCTTAAACCGGCCCGTGATTTTGACCATTGCGGTTCACGTTCAATACTTTATAGTTTATACATTTCGAATCGATGGTTTTGGTTTCGAACTGGAACCGGAACCGAGGTCGACCATTTTTTTTTTAAACAAAAATATTTTTTAATTATATTTATTTCTTTTAATGAAATGGGCGGGCAAGAACCTACAACTCAATGAATCGGCTAGTGCATATGTTCGGGCCGGCGACTTCAACCTGGAACCGGTTTTGCCATGACTATAACCAAATTATCTATTAACATAGTTCGAATTGTGAAAATTCAATCTCGAGTCATTTATACATTTAAACAAGTCAAACTCAAATAGCTAATCGAACTTGTCGATCAATCAACTAAAGTCGAACATGTTTGCAATCAACTCTGTAAGAGTTTTTTTGTCTTTTTGTCTACGAAATGAGGCCAAATTAATTATTGGAGGCGAATTCAACAAAAACCGAATGAAAATGGTTAACAAACTGCGCATTGAGACAAACCCAAAATAACCCGCAAGAGAAGTGTGCGTCAAACTTAATTATCCAACTCATTTGGTACTTGTCAAATCAACCCATTAAAAAATTTAAAAGGCATTAGAGTGTTGAGCCACATTATAATTTCAATTGATACAAATTTAAAAAGACCATAATTGTCATCTGACAATAAAGGATTCTCGTTTCCTCTCACCACGATTATCACTTATCCACCATTGTTGTCAAATGAATAAATTTAACCTGAATTTTGAGATATCCATCCCGAAATTAGATGGGGCTAAACAAAAAATTACATGGAGCTATATATAAATTTTCAAAAATTTAAAGTTAGATATTTTATTTTTTTTATGGACCTGGGGCTGGAGCCCACCTTAGCCCACGGGTGGCTCTGCCCCTGTTCCCGGCTATGGATGCCCTCGGACGATCGAGGCGCCAACAAGAAGGAAGGTCTGCGACTGGACAGAGATGGCCG